TTTGTTTTCTTATGTATTTCTAATAGACATTTGGCCAATGGGGTTCAACCGGGTCTGTTGTGAGATAGCAACTCACTGAAGACAATGGTAAACGGTGGCAAAATTTCGTGAATTGGTTGAAGCTAGACATTAACACCGTCGGATGTCGGCCAGCTTAGCGGTCTAGAGGTTAAGCGTTCGCGCAAGACTGATAGTCTCTGGGTTCGAATCTCGTAGATGAGCACTGGTGAGGAGTCCCACAATAGAACGAAATGGTCGTCCAGTGAAACTTCCAAATTTTCTACGGTGGTCTTGCTTCAATTGACTCATGATCTCAACCACTGAAATGTATTATCCATTTATAATTGTTTACTGGAGTGAAGTATAATAAATCCTTATGTAGATTTATGTTAGTGATATAGTTTAAAGTACTGATTCTTTCTTCGACAGTTTTTAGATTAAACAAAATGATTAGTTCATCAACACAACAATGCATGGTTTATGTGTAAATCAATGCAAGTGTATTATATAATACAAAGAAAAATAGCTAAAATTAAATCGATTATAGTTGAATTAGGTTTGATAATTGTCTGGTAGTAGAATTCAGGAAGCGTATCTTTTCATTCTATTTAAATCTTATCAGCTTCATGCTAAAGTTGATATATACACTAAAAACTTAAACATATTACTTAACACTTTAAAGACGCAATGTATTATTCACTGAACTATTAAGTCCAAAACTCATATTACTAATGATAGAAATAGAAGTTTGTATGAGATGAAATTTTATCGATGGTGGAGAAAATTTGTAAATTAAGTGGATGATTTTGATGGAGTTTTGTTTCCTGAACTGGATAGTTTAGTTGTGGAGCTTTCACTTCTACCTGAAGTTTGCACTGATGATTTCGTTCAGAAGAATTATGAAAGCTCCACGACTAAACCATCCAGCTCAGTGAACAAAACTCCATCAAAAAATATGAAATAAAATTTTATCCTATTCTTGTATTTTGACCAGTTAATGTTACCAGAATACACTAAATATTATTGACGTCATCATCAATAGACTAAATCTTTTTTTCCTTTGTCAATGGATCTGAATCATAAATACCTGATACTCGAAATTCACATTTCCTTATAGACTATAAATCAATTAATGAGAATAACGCAAATCCAATACTTTTTCTGCTACGTATATGAGTCCAAATCATCATTTTTTCTTTGTCTTTCAGTAACTACCTATTTCTTTTCCTGATTTTTTTTTCATAAATTTATATTTTCATAAATTCTTATATTTGATCACCACTAGCCAATTCATTAATTTTCAGAAGGGGGTTTTGTGGAGATTTTAGTAATTTTATAGTTGAACTCGTGAGTCAATTGAAGCTAGACCACCATGGAAAACCTTGAAGCACTGGACAGCCGTTTCGTCCTCGTATGGAACTCCTCAACAGTGAGTATCCATGACACCGCCCCTCAAGATTCGAACCCAGGACCTATCAGTCTCTTGCACGAACACTTAACCTCTAGACCAATGGGCTGGCCATTCATTTGTAAATAAATATTTTGTAAACTAATATCATTAGGATGAACCGATGATATTAGTAACTATACTTCACTTGTTACATCTTACCTGTCATGTAATCTAAATAACAGAGGGCACAACTGTGTATAACAACATTGTATAAATCTGTTATTAGTGGCTTTATTCAATATTATATTTTTGATACAATATAGAATTGTTAGCATAAATGATTTCAACACGTTTCTGTTTGCTTACTTCTTAGTCAATCCTGACGATAACATATTGAGTGATTGCCAGTTAAATGTTAGCAATTCAGTCAATCGACATCTAAATAATGTACATGGTTTTCGCTGTATATTGCCATCAACTAGAAAATCTCTGATTAGATGCTTTTTGTAACTTGTACAACGAATGGTTGTACACATTTCAGAAAAGCACTTGATAAATAGGTTATGTGATGAATAGACATAATGTTATATCAAAACAAAAAAAAAGAAAATAGATAACTTGTTGAAAGATTTAGATGACAAACGAACATATAGGCCAAATGTTCGATCAGATTTAAAATAACTTATAAAAATTAATTATATTTAGTATCAGAAGGGGTTTTGTGAAGATTGTAGTAATTTCGGCAGTTGCTCAACATATTCTCACTAGTGACTGGCTTTAAGGTGTACATCCTGGAGTTCTAGTGAGAAGTAGTGACTATTGGAGTTCAACCGGGTCAGTTGTGAGGTAGTAACTCACTGATGACAATGGTGGATGTGTCGCTCAATTTCGGGGATTAGTTGAAGTTAGACATTAACACCGTTTGATGCCGGCCTGCTCAGCGGTCTGGTTGGTTAAGCATCTGACGCGAGTCTGATTGGTCCTGGGTTCAAATCTTGCGCGGCGCTGTCGTGGATACTCATTGCCGAGGAGTCACAAAATAGGACGAAACGGCCGTCCAGTGTTTCCAGGTTTTCCATTGTGGTCTAACTTCAATTGACTCATGATCTCAACTGTTGTATATATTATATTTATATTTAATTCTATCAAAATTTCCTTTCGTTTTAAAGGTGTTTTTTATTCACTATAATATGTAATAACTCATATTACTCATTCATAACTCAAATTCCATTTACATTTAGTCACATAGTCTTGTGAAATGATCATACTCAAAGAAATCAAATTTGATATAGTAAAGAAGATTTCTATCTTAAAAAATTGACTAATTCTGATGAATGTTTATTATCTGAGGTGAATAGTTTGTTCTTACTTAATTTCTTACGCCTGTTACTCCTAATAGAGCATAGGCCGCCGACCAGCATTCTCCAACCCACTCTGTCCTGGACCTTCCTTTCTAATTCCATCCAATTCTTGTTCATTTTTCTCATGTTTATCTCCATTTCCGGGCGTAATGTGTTCTTTGGTCTTCCTCTTCTCCTCCTTTGGCCTTGAGGATTTCATGTGAGGGCTTGTCTTGTGACACAGTTGGGTGCTTTCCTCAATGTGTGTCCTATCCACTTCCAGCGCTTCTTCCAAGTTTCTCCCTTCGCTGGCATCTGGTTTGTTCTTTCCCACAGAACGTTGTTGCTAATAGTGTCAGGCCAACGGATCCGAAGTATTTTGCATAGACAACTGTTCATAAACACTTGTATCTTCTGGACGATGGCTTTCGTAGTTCTCCAGGTTTCCTCACCATACAGTAGAACTGTCTTGACATTTGTATTGAAAATCCTGACCTTGGTGTTGGTTGACAGTTGTTTTGAGTTTCAGATGTTCTTGAGTTATAAATATGCTGCTTCTGCTTTACCGATTCGCGCTTTCACATCCACATCAAATCCACCATGTTCATCAGTTATGCTGCCCAAATATGTAATGGTTTTACATCTTCCAAATCTCCTCCGTCAATTGTGATTGGATTGGTGCATACTGTGTTGTATCGGAGAATCTTGCTTTTCCCTTTGTGTATATTGAGACCTATTGCTGCTGAGGCTGCTGCCACACTGTTCGTCTTCTCCTGCATTTGTTGTTGCGTTTGGGATAGAAGGGCCAGATCATCTGCGAAGTCTAGATCATCCAACTGCATCTTAGTTGTCCATTGTATCCCGCGCTTCCCTTCAGACATTGATGTCTTCATGATCCAGTCGATCACCAGGAGAAAGAGAAAGGGTGAGAGTAAGCAACCTTGCCTAACACTGGTCTTCACTTCGAACGACTTTGTCAACTTTCCTCCATGCACGATTTTGCAGTGTAATCCATCATAGGAATTCCGTATGATTGACTATTTTCTAAGGCACGCCGTAGTGTTGAAGCAGTTTCCATAGTGTTGTCCTGTCCACGCTGTCAAATGCTTTTTCGTAGTCAATGAAGTTGATGTAGAGTGATGAATTCCATTCAATTGATTGTTCCACAATGATACGTAGAGTTGCGATTTGGTCTGTAGACGATCTATCCTTACGGAATCCTGCCTGTTGGTCACAAAGTTGGGCGTCTACGCAGTCCTTCATCCTGTTTAACAATACCCTGTTGAAGACTTTTCCCGGTATCGAGAGAAGAGTGATGACCCTGTAGTTATCACACTTGCTGAGATCGCCTTTCTTCGGTATTTTGATCAGAAGTCCTTCTTTCCAGTCTGTTGGTACTTGTTCGTCATCCCAAATCTTATTGAAGAGAATGTGGAGTATCCTTGCAGTTGCCGCTACGTCTGCTTTTAGTGCCTCTGCTGGAATGTTGTCTGGTCCGCCTGGAGTCCCTCCGGGGGCTACTGCCGGTTCCAAGCCCATCCCGTAGAAAACTAACTCGCTAAAAAAACGCTAACCAGAATAGTTTATTCGTTGAGTTTTTATTGTTTTTGTTTTTTTTTGGACCACATTATCAATGCAAACTTTAGATAAATACAATCTAAGATCACAGTATAAGCTTCATAATGTAACCATTAAGCTAAAAGAGAAAGAAACTTTACCAAGATCATGTTTGTAAATTTTAATTTTACAATATATGTTTCTATATTATGAATAAATAAGATTAGTACTGTAAACACAATAGATATAATTCATTTTTGTATCGTTTTTTTTTTCGATCTCCCCATCGGTATTTAAAACTGTAATTGGTCAATTTCTTATTATCATTTATACATTCTATGCGGATTACCTCGATATTGCTTTAAATCACAAGCATTGTAAACAAAAATAGATAGTGGTTAGAAGTGGAATTCAAGAAGTGTTTCTCGTTCTATTTAGAACACATCATTTGAATGTATCTGCATCTCAGAGTTTATAATCACTCTGGATAGCATGATAACGTTTGAAATGGACAATATTAAGTTTGAATCCTGGTGTGAACATTAATTCAACAAAGCAGCTACATTGAACTGATAAATCCTTAATAGGATGAAACAATTTCACTAATAACCACCATTCATCTTTACTGATAAGAACAGGTATAATTTTCGTATCGATTTATCTATTTATTGTATTTAATGAGATTGTTTCTTTTTTTTATTAAAATATTTTAGGCACTGAAATTCTTATCTAATCAACATTCAATATCAATGATATAATGAATCTAATAGAAATTTAGAGAGAGAAAAGTATTGTTCATTTCATCCAAACACAATTGTTCATTACATTTAATTATTATTAGTAGTAGTACAACTTCATATCAAACAATGAACCAATAAAAATACAATTTTTATTTATTTATTAGAAAAACAAAAGATAAAAGAAAAAAAATCATCCAATTAATGTGTATCTACCAGTATCTACTATACATATATAACTATTTTCAATGTTCAATATACCCAGTAACTAATGATACCCTATAACTAATACTACATATAGATGTACTCGAGTTAAACAATGATTTGTAACTATCATGTTTATTTTGGTCATTTTCATTCTTGTTCATTGAATATGATGACATCAATAATTAGTATTTCATTGGAATCATTAAAATCATGTTAATGACACTTATTACATAATTCATTGAAATCTATGATTATATAATCATTATCAATTATGATCTTATTGAATGGAATCAATTTATCAACCAGCTCAATGATTTATCAATATTTATTAATGATCGTTATTATTATTCTATTTATAATTACAAATAATTGTGGATCAGTTCAAAATAATACAAATAATAATATGACTAGTGATTACAATACTACTAACATGAATACTACTGTTATGAATAATAATAATAATAATTTAAGTACAGGTGGAATAATTGGAATAATCATTGGTTTGGTTATTATTACTACAATAACTAGTAAGCTAAAAAAAAGTATTTTATTTGTATCATTGTTCATTTTATATAAATGTTGTTTCAACAGTTGAGATCATGAGTCAATTGAAGTTAGACCACCATGGAAAACCTGGAAGCACTGGACAGCCGTTTCGTTCTATTGTGGGACTTCTCAGCAGTGAGTATCCACGACCCCGCCTCGTGGGATTCGAACCCAGAAGCTATCAGTCTCGCGCCAGGCGCTTAACCAACTAGACCACTGAGCTGGCCGGCATCCGACGGTGTTAATGTTAAAATTAAATTAATCCACGAAATTGAGAGACACATCCGCCGTCTATTGGTGGTCTAGCTTCAATTGACTCATGATCTAAACTGTTGAAATTACTACAATCTCCACAAAACCCCTTTTGATGCTAAATGTTGTTGAATGAATAGTATCACTTCTTAGTACATTTCCTAATACATATCTCAACTCACTTTAAATGATGAATTTTCATTACTCTATCAATTAATTTGCACTTTATGCTTAACTTTACTATTGATCCTATAATACTTGAATAATACTTTGAAGATATTCATGATTAAATATAAGTAACTTATAAATACGCTATTATTCTTAATAGTTATTTTAGATATCATCATAGTAAATAGAATGAACTGTTGAGTAGTAAACTTGTCCTATAGTTAGTAGACAGATAGTTCGCTTAAGCCAATATTCAGATCATATTCTGTGTACTGTTTATTTATGTTTAACTTATAAAGGTGTTTCCTTCAGACAACCAGCATAACAGCGATGTTGCCTTTCTACAAGGAGGGGTGAGGTTAGAAAAGGTCGTTCCTAAAAATGCACACCCCACCTTATCCCCCGGTGGTAACGTCTGAACAATTACGGAGTTAACATGAACATTACTCACAAAAAGGTCATTTGTAACCGGCCTCAAGCAGTTGTCCAATGGACACCACGGTCACTATGAACACCTCTAACCTAATTTCCTTTTCAGGTACCTCTAGAAAAATCTTTTCACGGTTTGGACAACCAAGAGATGAAAACGACTCTGATACCTCTAACAGCATTCAAGATCACTGTATTCATAACCAATCTCTCTCTTCAAATCTCATTATTCCTCCTACCTCGATTTTCAACTGTAAACTTCCTTTTTTGACTTCCTTCTCAAGTGTCACCATGGCCAACGATTCTAGTGCGCAAAACACTGTCTCAGGTCTACGGAAACTTGCCCTCAAATAAACATTAGAGCCTTCAACGTACGCACCCTATGCCAAATTGACCAGCAGGCCTCCTTAACTAACAACCTAGAATCTTATACCATTGATGTATACTGTGTCACCAAAGCACGCATACAGGATCCTAGCGCGGTAACTCACTTGCCATCACCTCGCCGAAACTGAGAGACGACGAGATACACCCGCCCTTTATCTGGCCACCCGATGACTAGTTCTCATGGACTGGCAGGTGTATGCATAGCACTAGGTACGAGGGAAGATTAAGCACGATGAGAATGGATCCCTGTTATCAGTCACCTGTGTTTTGTTCAGCCAAACGACTCAGTAAAAACTCGGAAGGACAGAGACACACGTCTTTGCCCTTTCGTCGTTTCTGTCTACGCTCTCAATGATTGCAGCCCGGATGAAGTGAAAGATGACTTTTACAGGGAGCTTTCTGAACTTCTTCAAAAAGTTAAACACTCGGACATGGTACTCGTAACGAGTGACTTTAATACCCAGGTAGGTAGCTTTAACCAACCAGAAAGACATTCAGGTGGGTGTTTTGGTATTTAGGCTCAGAGAAAAGATAATGGTGGTCGCCTGCTGCAACTGTGTTCAGACAACCGTCTATTTCTGATGAGAACCAATTTTAAGCATAAGGGGAGAGACATCGTGTAACATCGCGACCCCCTGCACCAAACCAGCGATTGGCTCAAATAGACTAGATTGCCATCATTCATGATTGGAGAGGGCCGATAGAAGACTGTCACTAGTTCTGGAATACACGTTTGGATTCCGATCATGCTCTACTACGAGCATGCATTTGATTTCGCCTTACTGGACGCAGAAAAACCACACTAATAAGACCCATTAGAACTGAACTGAATGACAATAAAGCCAAAAGTAGATACTATGAACAACTGAGGTCAGGCTTAGGTAGTTCTAAAATCGAGGATGACCCAGATGTTGCTTGGAAAGATATACGAACAGCTATGGAAACAGCAGTGACATATATTAGTGATTTATACCAAAGGGTTACGAAAAACCAAGTGTATTACACTGATGGATTCTCGTAAACTCATCCCTCCAGTCTCTGAACACGATGAAGAGAGTAAACAAATCAGATATAGGTTAACCACAAGTCTAAGTAACGACCGTGAGCAGTGGTGGGCAACGAAAGCAAAAGAGACGGAGAAGGCGGTGGTTGTAGGTAACACGAGATAGCTCTTCAGACTTATAAAAGAAACTGGAACTAAGAAGTCAAGTGTAAATGAGACTGTCTTGAAATAAAGACGGCAATCTTATCTGTTCTTAGGCCAGATGTTAAGGACGACGGGCGGAACACTAAGGAGTAGTTCATCTAATCTAAAACTACCCACCATTCTCAAACAGCCTGAGTAGAACATTAAAGTTGCCCCCCCCGACTCTAATTGATGTTTAAAAAGCTATAGCTAATTCGAAACGAGGAAGGGCAGCTGTTCAGATGGATTGGCTTCAGAGGTCTCTAAGGATAATGGTCCAATTTTAGCGATTAGATTGACCAATATTCTAGCTAAAATCCGGGGACTGAATGTAATCCCATCGGACTGGTCGCAATCACTGATTGCCCCAATATGTAAGAACGGGTCAGAACCATCCTGTGACAACCATAGAGGGATTAGTTTAACTAATATAGCATCTAAAATGCTAGCCTCAATACTTATTGGACGCCTAAATATGGCTCGTGAACTGCAAACACGAGAAAATCAGGCTAGCTCCAAACCTGGCCGTACCTGCATCAACCACATATTCACCATACGTCAGATCTTAGAATACAGGCATGCTTATTGGCGTCTGACAATGGTAGTTTTTCTTAACTTAGAAGCAGCTCTTAACTCAGTTGACCGAGAGGTTTTTTGGTAGTATCTGTCATTGAAAAGTGTACCTCTGAAGTACATAAACCTTGTAAAGGTTCGTTATTCGACCACTATTAGTCGAGTCAGAGCTTATAGGGAACTGTCATCTGATTTTGCAACCTCAAGTGCTGTCCGTCAAGGTTGTCCACTATCTCCATTTCTGTTTAATTTCATCATAGACCTACCGCTGGTAATAACTTTCTCATCTACTGGATTTTCAGCAATTAATCTCCTACCAGGAGGTCCACTTACCGACATAGAATATTCAGATGACCTAGTCCTGTTTGGTGAAGACGCTATAGTGCAGAGTCTTTTGCTAGCATCCAGCAACAATATCAGAATGTTTGGAATGCATTTCTCTCTCTCTCTAAATGAAAATTGTTGCTTCAGGATTTTGCCAACTCACATCACCTATCGCGAAGTTGAGATATCCGTCTACCAATTTAATGACCAGTACATTGCACAGCAGTTCGTCCTATTCTACTTTACGGCTGAGAAACGTGGTCATTAAGAGTAGAAGATACTCGTCAATTACTAGTATTTGATCACAGATGTTTAAAAGATATTACTTGGAGTTGATGGTATCACCAGGTAAGTAATAGTCAGGTTAGAGTCGGGGTATTAGGAAATGATGGTAAATCAGTTGATGAGGTTGTAAATCTTCACCGACTGAAACGGTTGGGCCACGTAATATGCACGCACAACTACCGATTACCACAGCGCGTAATGCTGACTATTGTAGGGGATGGTTGGAAGAAAGTTAGGAGCTGCCAAAATAAAATGTGGCATCATTACTTGAAGTCACTAACTTCTAGTCTGAGACATGTTGGTTGATGCAAAATACTTGGTTGGGGTTCGCGTGTCCATCGTAACCAACAGTTGGAGACTGTGTATAATATGGCTCAGAATCGATCACAATGGTGTAGGTGTATACACAATTTGTCTTCCCTTAAACGGCAAGACTAAAATTACTTTATACCTCTCTTTCTACCAACTAATTCTTTCTTCTTTTATTATATCTCCATATTCAATCTATCTTTTATATATTACCATCATTGAGGCAACTACTTCTATTAATTTGGTTTTCATCTTGTTGTGCTTATGAGGTGTGGCAAATTGGACCGATATATATATGTGCTTGATCTTATGTTGTAGATGACTGACAGACTGTACATCCACGACCCTTTCGGTCTTACGCACAAATGTTTAGTCTCTGTACAACCGAGTCGGTATCCAATCATTTAAATTTATAGCTTCAGTCAGTTAATGATATTCTGCGACTGGTTTCGATTACGTATGGTAGATAACTGTCTCATTCCCATCCATGTTGAACTCTACTAATTACATATCTTCACTAGAATTCCAAGAATTTCGTCTTGAAGCTAGTCACTAATGAACACATTATTATTATTGTCAGTATAAAAAGATTTGTGAAGATTGTAGAATTTTCATACTTGAATAGATCAACTATCCAGTACTTCCAGATTGTTGAAAATTGTCTAGCCGAGATCAGTTCATAATTTAAACTTTGCAAATTCTACAATCTCCACATTCGCCCTACTTTTATTGAAGAGCAAAAATTAATTTTCACTGCTAATAACTAATATGTTTTTATCTTAGTGATCTTTGATTTGTAAATCACATGACATAAATGTCGGCCATTTACGCTGGAGAGTTTTCATTATTAATAATAATTGTATTAACAATAACATTGATTATTATAGTAATGAAAGTAAATGTTGAGTAATAAATGATAAAGTCTAAATAATAATAATAATCTTAATAACTCAGATACACAATGACCTTGAATATTTTCACCATAATTATAATAAGATTTTTTCTGTATTATACATTCCGTTCATTATTTCTCGGTACTAAGTTACTTTGCTTTTTTGTTTTTATTCG